CTCGGCTGATATTCGAGTCAGTTTATACTCAAGTCTATATGGTAATTACTTTTTAAATTGTGGCAAAATATATACAAAGCAAAACATTCTCCAATTCAACAACTTCTACATGTATAATTTAGTACCATTGATGATGGTCTTTGTGATGTATAATAATTGATATCCTTTTCCAAATTATTCCACCACCATTAACATAAACTCAATGCCCCCTAAACAACAACTCTTCTTCCTTTACCCATGGTAACCCTTGACCAAGTTTGGTTAACTGATGCAATGGTTTATCAGGATCAGGGGCGGGGGTCTTGAGGGGGGGATTTGGGGAACAAACAACGAATGCAGGAGCACAGAGAGAGCATAGACTGATTGTGATGATATCTACATGCAACTCTTTTAAAAAGTGACTGAACTATGGAAGTGTATGATATGTGAATGTTATATTGAGAAAACTACTAAATATCTCATTTTTAAGCAATTGAATTGACAGTTCTTTTCATGGAAAAATGATATGACAATATTTTCTTAGAAAAGTGATATGGCAATATTCATAGATTTTCAAAAATTAGACATTTTAATTCTACTCCCAAGAAACATTGATAGCCAATTCCGTCACATTAAAGAGAGAGTTCAAGAAGAGATGACATTTTTTAGGATGTTTAAGCAGTAATGGAGCTTCTGGGTGGTGCAAACAGTTAACCATTTGGCCACTAACTAAAAGGCTGACAGTTCAAACTTCACAAAGAGGTGCCTCAAAAAGATTAGCAATCTGCTTCTAAAAATTTGCTCCCTGAATACTCCATGGAGCACGGTTTCACTCTGAAGCATATAGTCTCCATGACCTGGATTTAGCAGAATACAATGGTGTGTTAGGCAGGGTTGACTAGAGAAACAAATCCAGGGACACTCATATATGTGTAGGAAAGAGTTATATATCAGAGAGCAATTGTGTATTGAGAAAACATCCCAGCTCAGTCCAGATCAAGTCCATAACTCTTATATTAGCCCATATATCCAATACTGGTCTACAAATTCCTCTTCAGATTCATGCAACACATGTAATGATGTCAAATGCAGGAAGATCACAGGCTGGTGGATGAAATGTCTTGTGGATCCAATAGCAGTGGAAGCATCTCAGCGCTGGCAGGGATTTCCACCAGCTCTCTGAGGGTCTCAACAGCCAGAAACTGAAGCAAAGAGAGAGTGTGTCACTGGCCTCCGGAGAGAAAGAGAGGAAGTTCCCAGAATCTTCCTGAGAAGGCCACACCCACAAGGAGGCATCATCAGACTGTGACCTGATTGACAGGCTAGACTTCACCCCTATACTTATCAAGTTGACATGAAATTATGTAACTATCACAGGGGTGATATTAAAAAGATTTCACAACCAATATGACATGGTATGCAATCAAAATGAATATTGTATGACCAATTTCAATGAGAACAGACAACATGGTCATTGACCAATCAAAATGACACAGTATGCACACTGACCAATCTTTAAAGCTCCCTATAATGTTAAGAGATAGTCCTCCAGTTGTTGATAGCTCAAAGGAAGACCAAAGTAGAGAATTAAAATAAATCTAGATAATAAAAATATTTAAAGTAACACTAAAGGTGTGTGAAATGCACATAGCTTGACCAAGGTAAATGAAGTCACTAAGAAATGAACACACTAAAAGACAAATATTTTGGGTAAATTTTAGAATATATGTAATTGGGCATTTATAGCAACAACAAATTTATGTGTGGTTACATATGTATGTACATATGTATGCAAGTGTATAAGTATATGTGTGTCTATCTTGTGCATGTATATATGTATATATACATGTATATACGTGTGTGCATGAATGTTCATATATATAAAATACATCTCTTAGGGCACAGTCATGGGTACTTCTTAGACATAAATAAACACCTTCCAGAACTGCTTTTTGGTTTTAGGACAATAGAACAACGCAGTCGATTGGCATAACACAGTTCAAAAAGTTTATTTTCTAAATCCTAATTTTCTGAGTTGGCCTCAGTTCTTAAAGCTTTGTTAGTAGCCAATCTCACATGCAACTCTCAGGCTCGTCTCATCTGAAGTAAAAGAAAGAAGGAATGCAAAGAATCAGAAAAGAAGCTAGTCTACAGGATTAACAGTCTACACACACAACAGCCCATCTACTGAGAGGAGAAGCACTAATCAGGGCCACAACTGATGGATCCTGATAGAAGAGGGACAATGTGGGACCAAACACAAATTCTTAAACAGTACAGACTTAATGGACCTGTTGGGACTAGATAATATCACTCATTTACTATCATCCTGAACCTTGAACTAAAATCACCCCCTGAGGTCACCTTTTAACTAAATAACAGATTGGATCATAAAATAAAAAATATTACCAATGAGCACGGCTTACCTTTTTAAAAAAAATGTATATGAGATGAAATAACTATTAGTTACTCTAAAGGAGACAGGGAAAGCAGATTCCTGGAAATGAGAGATTCAGCACGGTTTAGTGACAATATTGGCACATTATAGAAAATGTAACTAACGTTTTGTGTAGTAATAGTTCAATGGAACTCTAATTTGCTATGCAAGTTTTCCCCAAAACACAATGAAATACTATTATTTTAAAACTCAATCCACTTCACTTGAGTTCATTCTGACTCATAGTGCCACTATATTAGGATTTCTGAGGCCATACATCTTTATGGGAGCAGAAAGTGTGGTAGCCACCTAATCTAGTGTCAATTTAAGGATTAAGAGTGGAGGAAGCAGGGGTGGAGTCTAGGCTGTCAATCTGGAGATAGCCAATGAGACTTCTGTGGACAAGACCTTCTGAGAATTCTCGAAATTCTGGTACTTCATCCTTGGAAGCAGAAGACACCTCTCTCTCTCTCTCTCTCTCTCTCTCTCTCTCTCTGCTACTCCCTGGGAGACATTGCAGAAGACAAGCCACATGGACACAACCAGACCTCAGAAGCCGGAGAAGCCACAGAGAGACCCCTGCCAGTGCTGAGATGCTTACAACGTCACTGGACCCAAAGACTTCCTACCACTGGCCTGCAATGTGCATTCAGCATCATTGCATGTGTTTCATGAGTCGGAAGAGGATTTTATAGATTGATTTCGGACATATGGGCTAATATCGGATTTATGGACTTAATCTGGACTAGGCTGGGATGTTTTCTCAATGTTCAATTGCTCTTGCATATAAATCTCTTTCTTATACATATATGTATGTCCATGAATTTGTTTCTCTAGTCTACCCAGACTAACACAGACAGACTAAACTTTCTCCTGAGGACAGACTGGTGAGTTTAAGTGGCAGACCTTGTGGTTAGCAGTCCAGGGCTTACCCAACAATGAGACTAAGATTTTTCTTCAGCCTTACTTCTTCAATATCTAACTTCCACATGCATACGAGGCCATTGAAAATACCATGGCTTAGGTCAGGCACACTTTAGTACTCAACGTAACATCCTTGCTTTTCAACACCCTAAAAGGGTTGTTCGCAGCAGATTTACCTAATGTAAGGCATCATTTAATCTCTTGGCTTCTCCTTCCATCAACATTGATTGTGGATCCGAGCAAGACAAAATCCTTGACAACCTGAATCTTTGTTCAGAGTCATAATGTGACCTATTGGAGCAGTTGTGAGAACTCACCTAGTTCCTCTGGTCTCGGGTTAAAAGAAATAGACTGTCCACTTCTGACTGTCCACTGAAAGCCTATGGACAGCACCAAAACATTGTCAGATACTGAAGACCTACTAGATGAAGGAGAGAATGTTGCCAGAGAGAGTACCAGAAGATGGGTCACTTCTGGGAGTCACCTTTCAGGCCCATATGAGATGGACCTATAAAATAAGCCATGACACCTGAAGAATGTTATTCTTAGAATAATCAACAATAAGGCTAACTTTTCAACATTTGCCAGAAAGCAAAGATGAGAAGCCAAGGAGAGATAGAGAAACTGGAGAGATGGAAACAGGAAGTCAGGGTGAAAATGGGGACAGTGTTGACACATGGTGGTGATACCAGTCAAAGTCTGGGTGGTGGGGGACACTGTAGGGGGAAGGATTGCGTATATATCACTGAGTGGGAAGTTAATTTGCTGTGTTTCATTTAAAATGGCAATAAAACGTCTGTGTTTGTGTGTTTTTTAACAGTTAAGCATCATGTCCAAGGTCACCCCACTTAAAAATTACATATAATACCATAGAACAATGCTTTTAAAATATTTATAACCTAAAGGGAAGTATAACCATTAGTATACATGTGGGTTTGTTTGTTTGTTAATGTTTTACTTTAACGTGAAATCCAGGATTGGTAAATCTATAAAGACAGCAACTGGATTAGTGGTTCCCTGGGCGTGGGGCAGGGGAGCTTGAGGAGAAATGGGGAGCTAATAACAACGAGTACGAGAATGAAGGAAACGTTCTAAAACTCTGTTGATGAGTGCACAAATCTTCTTGATGTGATTGAACTACTGAATTGTATGCTATGTGAATTATATGCCAATAAAACGTGTGTTTTTTAAGTTCCAACCTCAAAACTTCACCATGGAGCCATGCAACTCTGTCATAGAACGTTGTTATAGCAGAAATTGACTCCACAGCACACAACAAGAACAACCCTTCCATATTTTTTAAAACACTAAAATATCGTAAAAAGGGAGTCATCTCACTCCGAATCGCAAGTGTCACCGTCTTTCACGAGCAGATGCAAAGGAGGCAAAGACAGAGAGGCAAGACGATGGCATCTCCAGGGCCTTCTGTTTGCTTCTTGGGCAAATGCTTGATTCCCAAACAATGCTATGATTGTTTGACCTTCCACATGAAAGGTGGTTGTCGTCCCAGACTCAGGACGACCCCACACAAGATCAGAGGGTTTTCAGTGGTTGATTTCAGGAGGCGGTCACCAATCTTTATCCCGACATGGTGTTAGTCTGGAAGCTCTGCCGAGAGTAGAGGAATTACTATTTAAAAAAAAAAAAAAGGCAATACAAGTTTGGGTGGTTTTCCTTTTTATTTATTAAAAAGCACATTTTTCATGGTCTGTGTAGTATGTGAAATACAACCCTACAAAGCATCGTCCATCTCTAACTCACTGGAAGACACAAGACTGGCCTGATAAGGGAGTAGATAAAGATGGATCACTTCGTGTAAACATTCAACACTGAGATAGTTAGGAAGGTGTGCATCAGCTTTAGAACTTAATCTGACTTTTAGCCTGTGGAATAAGTATTATGATTTGCCAAATCTAGTCTGATGGACTCCTACTTCAACCATAGCCCATAATAATGCCCCATATATTAAAAACACATAAATAGCATGTCAATGTGATTTAGGATAATGTGAACATTTAAAGATCACGATAAAATGTAGACTTGTCTTTCACTTATTGGATTAGCAAGCAGGAGTGTTGAGTGATGAGGAATTTTATTATGATGAATTTGCATCTTTTATACTTAACAACCTTAAGGGATTTACTTAAAAAAGTACTGAAACACTTTAAAAGTCAAATTCTACTTCTGGAGCTGGAAAAATTGATTCTTCTTCTCACAATAAAATATCAGTTCCAGTGATTCCAACATCATCCCGTCTAGATCATGTCAGCAAAGTTTGACGCCACTGTGGGGGTGACATGTTGACATCTTCATGCTAGACCTGTCCACCAGGCACAGAGCGGAGTCCAAGGAAATCTTTCCTATACCAATGTGACGTTCCTGACCTTCTTAGGACTGGCCATCATGAAAGAAACATGTGGGCGAGGTGTGGGGGCCGCCTCAGATCCAGTGGTTTCCTGGTAAGAAAGAGACAATGGGCGATTTAATTGGTAGAGATCACTTTAAAATGTACACTTGGGAAGGAAATTTCACCTGGCATCTAGGAAAAAATTGAGGCATAGGAGGGGGAAATGTTTTAATATGCTCTCCCTTTACCCCATTATTTTCAGTAACTCTAGAAGTTTTCCTAGTCCAGGACTCAAGGAACAAGCCATATACTACTTTTTTTTAAAATGAAGACAAATAAGTAGAAGGTTCACTGTTTTGTGTTTGATTTATGTCTCTTGATTTTCCTATGAAAGTCCTGGCTTTGGCAGGGCTTAAGGCTGGCTCCTGCCAAGAATGGGTTAGGTCTATGCTCCTCCCACTCAGACATGTAAGGTACTTCAGACAAACAAGAACATTGAATTCTCCAGAAGGGTCAAGGCCTATCTAATAAACTCAAAGATTCACTGCCATCCAGTCAATGCTGACTCACAGCACCGCTATAGGGCAGAGTAGAACTGTCCCTTTGGGCTTCTGAGACTGTAGCTCTTTCTGGCAATAGTAAAGGCTCATCTTTTTCCACAGAGCAACTGGTGAATTAGAACTGCTGATCTTGTGGTTAGCAACCCAGCATATAACCCACCAGGGCTCCTTCCTGCCTAATAGTGTCGCCCTTTAAAATGTAAGGAATCTTGGTGGCTAAGCACTAAGATCAGTGGTTTAAGCCCAGCTGCTTTGGGAGAGAAAGAAGTGGTACTCCACTTCTGTAAAGGTTGTAACCTTGGAAACCCACAAGGGCAGTTCTATGCTGTTTTGTAAGGTCACCACGAGTCAAAAGTGATATGACAGAAAGTAGTTTGGGTTTGGGTTTATTAAAATGCACGCAGCATGTTTTCCCTGACAGTCCTGAGAAAGCTAGCTCTGACGCGAGGGCCCTGTAGCCACATTTAACATCTTAAATAATGTAAGTGGGCATAATAAATTATTTACACTGCAGCGGAGTGTCAGTAAGTCCTGTGGATAGACTCACTGGCTCGTGGTTTTAATTGACCGACTGCCAATAGCACAAGGAAAACAAGAGGGCTGATAGAACTATTTCAGAAATGGGCCAGAAGAATCCCATCTAGCCTTCTGTCGGAAGATGCTTGCAATTTGTCTAACTGTTGTTTGGCTTTTGTTTCCACTGCTGATGTGCACAAACGTATTGCTGTTTGCTAAATTTATCAAGAGTTTATTTATGTTGATATCGCCACGGGGGAGTGATCAGTGAACACTGATCCAGGTTTCCAGTTATCCTGATGCCCACTTTCCCAAATTGACAGATTCAGGAGAGGGAGAGACAGGATTGCCTAAAATAACCAGAAAAAATTGACTGACAGCAAGTTGAGCAGGGGAAAAGGGGAAAGGAGAAGGAGGGTTATTTGATTTAAATATTCATCAAGATGCACAACATTTTCAAACCCCATGGCTTCATATAAAAATAAAAGCTGTCTGCCTTTCTCCATTAACAGATTGTAATGTTTAGTATGGTTTTCTAGTTTTAGTTATTGGCTCTTTTTTTAATGTGTTCCAGCTGAAGTTACACTATTTTTCAGGGGACAAAAACTCGTATGTAGAAACCCATGTCAGGATGATGTATCCTCACTATAAATCCAGCCACAAAGAAATACTTGGATTAAAAAAACAGGCAGTCCTGCTTTGATATATGTTAGCTTTGAAAAATCATTCCCCTTTCCCTTTCTGATCCTTGATTTAATGCTTGTCTTGGAGTCATAAAATTTGCTCTCCTTAATTCACACTGGCTACAATGTGCCTTAAACCAGTGGCCATCAAGTGGACACTAACTCATGGTGAGCCGTGTGTTGGGGTAGAACTGCGCTTCATGGAATTCTCAATAGCTCATCTTTTGGAAGGAGATCTTCAGGTCTTCCTTCTGGGGGGTGGGGAGTTGGGCCTTCAGTTTTTCAGTTTGCAGCCAAGGGTGTTAGAGGTTTGCCCCACTCAAGGACTCTAGGATGTCCCTTAGGGCATCCGAAACAGAAAACTTTACAAATGTGTGCCCCCTCGGTGGCATGGTGTGGATGGTGGGGCATTTCAGTGTCAAGATGTTTCCATGGGAAGTTCCTTAGGAGCACCACATTGGACATTTCATTGGGAAGCATCACAGTGGTGCCTCAGCTCCCTTCATGCTTTGTGGCAAGCTCAGGGCTGTGGGATCATGAGGCACCAGTAGTTCTAAAGGCACCGTTGTAAGAAGACTCCAAGAATTCAGAGGTTACTTTCCCTTTGAAAGAGTGCCAGGCATACCTGTTATATGTTTATCTGGGGCCCCAAAATATTTTTCGTAAAGCAGATCACCTGGGTCATGTGGTAAAAAGACTGCAACTCTGGCTCTATCTCCAAGAGATTCTGATCCAGAAAGGCTGGACGAGATCTCTAGTGCTTTTTTATTTATTGTTTGTTTGTTTGTGTGACATAATTATTATTTATTTTAAACAAATCATTTTATTGGGGGCTCATACAGCTCTTATCACAATACATACATACATTAATTGTGTAAAGCACATTTATACATTCGCTACCCTCATCATTCTCAAACCATTTGCTCTCCACATAAGCCCCTGGCATCAGCTCCTCATTTTCCCCGCTCCCTCCCCACTCTCCCTTCCCTCATGAACCCTTGATAATTCTTAAATTATTATTTTGTCATATTTTGCCCTGTCCAACGTCTCCCTCCATTTTTCTGTTGTCCGTTCCCCAGGGAGGATGTTGTTGTTTGTTTGTTTTTAACAAGTGAAGTGTCCCAAGTGCTTCTGACACACAACTGCATTGAGAACTACTGCCAAGCCAGCAGGATCCCTAGGGTCTGGGCATACCTCCAATCAACATGGATTCTTGTTGGCTAAAATAATGATCCAGGATACAGGAAACACACCCATTTATTCCAGCTGGTGGCAGGAGAAAGGAATGCCCTGTACCTGAGCCTTTAGTAAGAAGAACCCCTTCTGGGAATATAACAGTGAGCAGAGGTGGGGGATGCATGAGAGAGAGTTGAAGAAGACCAGCAGGGTGAAGCTCCCCGAGAAGCAAGTGCCTCTTTCCTGGGTATACAACCCAGCCTCCCCAGACTGGACCTGGCCTTCCTACATCAGCCCTCCCCACCCGCTGGAGCTAGCTATTGAGCACAGTGGCTGGCATTGCAGCGGAAAAGTCTCCACCCCAAAGTCTATGCCTAATGACATTTTCTGTGGAAGCTCAGCATGGAACCATTACGAGATAACCAAGGCTTTGAAAACAGGTCCCCTTACTTCCCATCATGACCTTCTCTGTGGCAGTGCGGGCTCCTGGGTTTAGACGTTCGTCAGAATGGAGGTAAATGGAGAAAGAATTAAGGGAGGTTAGTGTAGCAGCAAATGGGGTTTCCTAACTCTTCCTAAAGAGTCCCTGTGGTACAAGCCGTTAACTGGTGCAATTATTAACCCAACAAATGACAATTCAAATCCCCTATAGGCATTTTGAAAGACAAGGCTGGAGATTATCTTTTGACAGTCACAGCCACATAGTCTGCACATGTGGAGTCTCCATGAAGCAGAATTGACTCTTGATGGCAATGAACAACAAGGATCTCTCCTGTTGTTAGGCACTATTAGTCAGTTCCAACTCACAGATATCCTATGTACACAGAGCAAATTACTGCTCGGTCCTGCACCATATGCACAATTGTCGATAGGTTTGAGCTCATTGCTGAAGCCACTGTGTCAATCTCTTTCATCGAGGGTCTTCCTCTTTTTAACTGTCCCTCCACTTCACCAAGCACGATGTTCTTTTCCAGGGACTAGTCTCTCCTGATAACATGTCCAAAGTACCTAAAGCCAAGTCTTACCATCCTCGCTTCCAAGGAGCATTATGGCTGTACTTTTCCCAAGACAGATTTGTTTGTTCTTCTAGCAGAACTTTCAGTGTTGTTCACCAGCACCATCGTTCAAACGCATCACTTTTTCTTTGGTCTTCTTTATTCAATGTCCAACTTCCACAATCCCTCCTGAAATACTAACTTCCAATCCTCCTGTTTTAGGTAACACCATTGCCTCCTATCAGTGATAGGCCCTGGCCCTTTGGGTTTCCCCCTCCCTGGGGTGTATTTGAACTGAGACCCTAGAAGAAAGCTGAATGAAGTGACAATTGAACGTGGAATGATTTAACTATTTTTAAGCCCTTTAAATATGTTGCTTTTGTGTTACATATTCCTCTCTGCTCATCAAGTAATGTTTCTGGCCATCATTAGATCACGACTAGCAGCTAAAAGAGCTATGTGATGTCCTGCACATGCACATGCGAGCTCTTAGTGCAGCTTCACTCTGGGGACCAACGATGTTCTCCACTTCAGTGAATGCATGATTGATAAACATGCAGCAAGAATGCTGGTCTGGAGGTGAACTCACTGGTGTTAGAAAAAGTCAAATGGTTGGTTGCTAATAAATAGTTATAGGGGAGATTGAAAACTTTAGCAAGTCTTCTCGCTTTTCTTTTAAAAGAACTAAGTTTTGTGGATACAAGAAAGTGAGGATGCTTCCTATCTAAGAGCAGCATGGACAGGATGCTCAGTAACATTTGATGGCAAACAAACAAGAATAGCATCAACAAGTCATATGTTCTCAAACGATAAAACAGATGTCCCAGACTGGGACTGTAAAACCTAAACCCTACAGGTAGAAAAAGAGTGATTTAGAACTTTTTCTGTTCTGTTCTAATTTTACACCTGTGAAAATGTGGAGCAGAATGTCCATACCAATTGATGTAAGAACTTCTTTCTTTAGTGATGCATGAATTTGGGGAAAGACTGTCTTTCTTCAATGCTAAATTACACAGTGTTCAGTGATCCAGAACTTTATTATGAGGAGTGAGCCAATTTCCACACAGCTTGGGTAATAAATAGAGAAATGTATACTGTCTATATTTGCTTTGCACAGTCAGCTGTTAATGAATAAATGGAAATGTAACATTAGGAAAAAGAAAGTTTTTAGGTTAGAAT